AATACTATATATATATATATATATATATATATTATATTATATAATACAAGCAAAGGAAACCCATACATCCTAACTTGACTCACAATCTCTGCAATTTACCACCATCATCCATGACAATTTTGGCTAAAGATGCTTGTGGGATGGCAATTGAGTATCTGAGTATTAATTCTAAGAAATCTGCCCCTATATATGCCACACAAGTCATGCATATTACACGCTCAAAATTACGATATCCGAACCACATGACGTAAGGTAACAGGTATAAATCGCCTACTAAAGTAGAAACAAGGAGGGACATTCATATATATTTATACATTTATATCAACTTCAATGAAACCATACAAGTTTACTGTCATTGAACGTAACTCGAATGTAACAACTAACAAGAACATCACATTATCCAAGAATTTCACTTTTGAGATATATATTTACAAAGACATGTAACAGATATATATTTCAGCAGTCTAAATGTATATCAACAATAGTGTAATTAATGGTTTAAGTTGGCAATGGACCACTGTAAGGGCAATGAATATCGGAAGTGAAGAAAAATATAGTCAATACTCCGATAAGCCAGATGAAGAAACATAGAGACACTATTCTATTTTTTGCAGTAAGCACTTGATAAGACCTATCGAGGTCCTCTGCAACAGTATTCTTGTAAAGATCTTCTATGACATACTTGGTTATTTCATCCACCAGCTTCTTATATTGAGGAGCAGAATCGTGTGAGTTGAAGAACTTAGGTTTTGCATTTCTGAGATTAGTTGCAACAATCTCTGACTCCATGGAACTGAAAATGACACCGTCCAATTCATAGGCATCCAAACATTTGGTGGAATCACTTCCTTCTTCCTCAGTGATCTTTTTAGAAGGCATCATATCATATGAAAGAAAGGTTTCCGGAAAAGCTTCATCCAACAACGAGATCTAAAACATATAAATGTAACTGGTTGAATCAGTTAAGGTTAATTTCCACAGCAGTTTTTCTATCTAATATATTTTCTCTGAACCCAAACAGTTCATAATTGTACTAAACTAAGCTTAATTACTTACAATTTGCACCAGAATCGAAGTTCGAGGCGTGCATTAACTATAAATCAGTCAAATACTCAAATCAATAACATAAGCTCTGCTTCTAGTCAGATCTAAGAATTTTCTTGAATAAGCATTGATGAATAGCACGTAGACATAACTTGTAGTTTAAATTAGATATATGATTAATGTGATTCTCTAAACCACGATGCACTTTTGCATTTTGCGTAGATCCTATATTTTTATCAGAATGAAACGAAATGAGCTAAATAAAACAAAGAAAATGTACACAGACGCACCGTATCAAATTTGAGTTTGAAAATCGGAATAATCAATTCAAATTCAAACTTACATTATCGTCTTCGCTGTGATTAGCATACGATATCTCAGAGATCGGAGAGGAAGCCACACGAGCTTCTGAAATAGATGTCAATGATGCGTTCAGGCATTTGTTTGTAATCTGGACAAAGATGAAAGCAAACATAAACATGAAAAAATGAATATGAAGAAAGCAAAGCGTAAAATGTGAGTAAGGTTTTGCGGATTGTGTTGTGCCTTATTGAAGTTTGGCGAATGCTTCAATTTGCTATTGCGCTTCTCCGATGAACGAACATAGGTCTTCTGAGGCGTTTGAGATTCTTTCATTGGCGGGAGTTGAAGTTAATTTTGCCAAGTTCAATTCAATATGCGGAAATGGAAGAGAAACATTCTTATATATAGATGGAAGATTCCAATATAATTGATCCAAGCACGGTGTTTACGCCATTTTTGGCATATGCTCAGATATGGACGCGCAAAGAGAAATTTCAAAATTATTGCTGCCGTGAAATTATTTTCATACACAATTATAATACTAATAAGATTTAATATGACATGGTGATAAGATAATTTTTTTATTAAAATTTATATATAAATTATTTATACCGAAAATGTATATAAATTAAAATATTTATATAAAAATAATTTATACCGGTAACGTATATAAATTAAAATATTTTAAATATATAAAGAGGAATTAAACTTAAAGACTATAAATTACGCATTCTTATATCATGTAATATTTTTAGTTAATTTTATGTAAAACTTTACTCTTAGATTATAAGTTTTCACCGTATAAATTATATTGATGAAATGTTATGTCAATTTAAATTTGATTTTGTAGTGAACTCAGGGTACTCTTAGATTATAAGTTTTCACCGTATAAATTTACAATAGTTTTTCAATTTCTATGGTGACAATTTTGCGTAGTGCATTTTATTGTGTAATAACTTGTGTCTTTGTATAAATGTTGAATTTTTAAACTAATTTTTCATTTATTATATTTTTAACAAAATTATCAATCATTTTTAAATTTTATATTAGTAGTTATGTATATAAATTTATACAAATACAAATATATATTCAAAAAATTTATATTCACATATGTTTTACATAATTTTATTTCATTTAAATATTTTAACTATTATTATTAATATCACCTTTAGAAAAATATATTTTCATCATAAAGGGAAAATAATGAAAATACAAAAAATAATACTTATATAATTAATATTTTTTGTTCTATTTTATCATGGTTAATTGCTAAGAGACTCACAAATTTGTTTATGTGAAAGATTAAAAAAAAAACAAAAAAAAAACAGAAGATAAGGATGTGAAGTTAGCCAAATGAGATGTGTGAATAACAAATCAGTATACCTTTTAGAGTCCGGACCCAAGTGCATGTACATAATAATGGGCTTTATGCAGAGTTGAGCCCAACAAGCGAGAGAATTGGCGCGAAAGTTTTCCCGCCAAACGGAGTGGCCCCATAAAGAGCGGTTG